TCATAGGCGTCCATTCGCATGCTACTTCAAAAGCATGCTACTTCATTTAAGCGTGCTGCTTCAGCTTTTCGTGACTGGCTGCCAGGATCTCATTGTTTCTGCAGGGGCTCTCAGTGACAAAGGTGCAGAAACGCGCAAATGGGAGCACGCAGAGATTTTGAGGCTTGGGTCTGTTGCTTTTGTTCAGGCACGACAAGTATGTCCAGAGGCTGCAAAGCACAGCAGCCAAAAGCTCTTGCAAGGGTGCACAGCCAGCCCTTAGCCACATCAGGTAAATACTTTATAAGCCCTAAACCCTGAACACTACACCCTAAACCCTAAACCCTATCAACCCTAAATCCTGAACCCCAAAACCTCAACTTGCGGCGACATGGAAAGCTTGTGTGAGCGAGGACAAGGAGGCCGGATGGGGGAGTTCATTCGGCATAGCGGACTTGGGGAAAGAGGTTGCAATGGGGATATAGAATGATTGCAACCGAAACAGACGACACGAAGTCAGACAATTTGGTCTCTGTCTGTTCCGGTAGGAGTTGCCTGTAAGAGAGTCGTTGTCATTTTAATGGTTGCTCGTCCCAGGCACCGTGAACAAGCTCGTGTCGATGAAGTTCGTTTAATTGATTGGCCAGGACATCGCAGAAGTCGTGGCAGCACGCATGTTCGTGGTCTCGGGAGTTGAGCTTTTATGCATGTGCGAGAGTTCACATCCCACGAGATGCATAGACGACACCACTTGAGACCCGCACATTCTGGATCAGAAAGATTCCTGCACTGTCGCAGGACATTTGGCTTGGACGGCTGCATTTCGTGACGGTTGGGCTGGTGGCGGATGGCGGTGACTGCTGACAAGATGTGCAACTTGGCCTAGATTCACCTCCTGTTAAGCCTCGGTCTAGCAAAGTGTGGTCAGTCAGTGTTTTGGACAAAGATTCCTTTGGAATTCGGTAGAAGATGCTGCCCGAGCGATTTGCCGAATGATATGCACATGGGTGAAGCATAGTGTGGGTGGCGAAGCTTTGGTTACATTCATAGATTCTTTGAGGTTTTGAATAAGTAATAGATGTTTGGTAGAACTTTTCCACGGTGCAAAAATTCGGTCTGTCGGTCTTCCTGGCAGCTTGCGAACTTGCAGGGCAATCGCCGGAAGAAGAAAGATATGAATCTCACGCAGCCAGCTTTGTCTGGACAAGGATATGTTGCTGTCAAGGACAAGTTTGATGTTCATGAGTCTGTGTCGGCCCTGGCCTGTGATCTCAACAGGCATTGTGGCTTAGAGTAGAGGTGATAGTGTCTCACCTTTGCTGAAGGGTTCGAAAGCGCTGAACAGACAAGACATGGCCCATGCAGGGCGCCTTCGCAGGACAGCCACGAGGGTCGTTCAGAGGGGCTCCTAAGCTGGCGGATTGGCCGCCACGGCCAGGGCTCTGTGATCTTGGCTCGTATTCTTGTCCTACAGCAGTGGTTCCTGGACAAGAGTCCTGATAGGTTGTAGTTGCCTGGTCGGCAGCACATATGGCCAAACCTCCTTTGCAGTCAGTTCTTTCGCAACAAGCAATGATATTTTCCCAGCCATCCTCACCTGTGGATTTCACCCGGCTTCAGGACAACGTCGTCCAAGTCCTTGCTGTCAGCGGAAACTGCGGAGCCACCGGATGCCAAGCATTTCTTGCTCAGCACGGCCAATCAGAAGCTGCAGTCTTGTATGAAAGGCCTGCAAGGATTTAGGATTATTCCTTGGATCAGCTCTCACCTTGTGTCGCTGCAGGCAACGAGGATGAGTTATCCCAGAAGAAGAAGAAGGACGGCAGGAAGAGACGTACCTTTGCTGAACCAGGTCCGAGCCAGTTCCTTTGTGGATTGGGGTTATGGACTTGAGCCGAGGCAAGTCCAGCTCCTCCTCTCCGGAGGAGAGCGAGTCGGAGGATCCCACGGCCGTGAAGCAGTCTGTGTTTTCCTTGGCGCAAAAGGAACTCGTGCGAAGGGGCCAGCACAACTTGGACGAGTGCTCGACCAAGCAGATCGCCTACGCTTTCTCCTACTCGGCGAAGTTCATCCTGCCCTCCGACCTCTATGAGGTTGGTGGAGAGCAGGACTGCAGTCATTCACTTCAACCTGAGGGACCATGCTTTGCTATCTCCGTCTGAGGCATACATCGGTCTAGGGTCTGCGGCCTAGGCGCAGCACAAAGTAATATTGAAATTCTCGCTCTCTCTCGCTCTCTTTTTT